TTGGACACGATTACAGCAGAACTGCCTCAAAAATGAAGTGGGAAAAGAGTCTGTGAGAGGCGCTGTGCGTGACACGTTGCCGGCAGCGCGGGGAGGCTGAGCGGTGGGCAAGGGGCAGAGAGGTGATGAGGGCAAACCCCGTCGTGTCCCTTGCAGGCAGGGGTGAAGCTGCCTGAGCCAGGCACGGGGGCCAAGGGAGGCGCCTGGGATGGAGCAGGCGTTGCTGTGGGGGACTGTCCTGCACAGTGCTTGAGGAGTTTGAATGAGAAAATGTCCCCGGGTGTTTTCTTCAACAAGAAGCAAAGCATCCGAGCGTACGGTTCTTCTATTTGCAGGTCCCCGTGGCTTTCAACGATGCTTCGTTTAACTTCTCTGAGGAGGAGTGGAAGAGCTTGAACGAGTGGCAGAAGGAGCTTTACAGGCATATCATGAAAGGCAACTACGAGGCCGTCATCTCAATGGGTAAAGACAAGCTGGGGTTTCCCTTGAGCCTTCTGATGTGCCAGGTTTTCCCGGGGCCTGGCGGATGGAAGCGCTGCTGTGCCTGGCAGGATCGGGGAGGGTGGATGGTGTGCTGGTCTAGGAACTTCCGACAGCAGCCAGCCCTGGCCATAAGGTCAGTCCTCAGCAGTTCAGTTTAGCAGTGGATGGACGTCCCCAGCATCGCTGCAGTGACTGCGTCTCTCTTGACGGTCTCTGTGGCCGGTAGGAGCCAAGCGAGCGCCTGGGTCATGAGGAGGAGGGGAAGCGAGAGGACCCTCAAACCAAGTAAAGATGGGGGAGAGGGGGTTTTCTTCGTCACGCAAAGGTCCACACATCCACTGCGCTGGGTGCATCAGCCCGCTCGCCGCTTAGGGCAGCAAGAGGGGTGCCCTGCCTCTGAGGTTCCTTCCAGCCCTTTGTGTGGGTGATCAGTCCTTCAGCTGCAGAGTCTTTCGTAAGGGAGGAGAGCGAGGTTTGTCAGCCGCCTGCTGCCTCGGTGCTCTGTCTGAGCCCAGCCTTGACCCAGGGAACTTTTCTTGCGCAAGCTGTTGCGCTATCTGCTCCTGTAGTGCCGGGTAGAGCTGGGGAGAAGCAGCGGGCAAAGGCAGGCTCTGCCTTCCGCTTTCCTCTCCAGCGGCTCAGGGCAGTGCGTTTACAGCTAAACAAACGTACTCCGCTCGCTCCTTCCAGTCCCAGCTGCGGGGATTCCCTCTGGGGGACGCGTTGCCTTCACGAGCACCTACGTGTGTTCTGAGAAATGACTTTGCCGTGGCTGGATGTCCGCGTGCAGTGGGTGGGAGCGCAGACGCAGTCCCTGGTAGACAGGCGTCTCCTCCCTGTGCTGAGGCCACTGGTGTGCAGGCTCACCCGCCACCTGGCCGTCTAACTCTGGCCAATCCAGGCCTTTGATCCTTCTTTTTTTCTTTTTTCCTTTCTTCCTTTATTTTTTTTGGACAGAGGCCTTCTGCAGTCCCTGTGTGCAAGGGAAAAAGGCGAAGGATAAATACTGCCCCCCATTCTCCTGTTTAAAAACCAATCCTGCATCCTACGCTAGAGGCGCAGGAACGTAACAGTCCCGGTGAAGGGGATCTGTGGATCTGAGCCTGGAGCTTAGAAAAATGTATCTGTGCTTCATCTGAAGGTTTCCTTTGAGTAATGAGGTTTAGGGGTTTGGCCCTCGTATAAGGCAAACGGATCCACCAGAGCAGCGGTGGAAATTAATACCCAGAGACTCACACTTGTTTGGAAATGAAGTTTTCCGCTCTCCACCCTAGGAGAGATTGTGATTGTCCCCTTTCCCCCACCAAAATCCGCAAGCAGCCTGTGACTCGGACGAGTAGGATGGAGCGGTCCTGGCTGGAGGGAACCGCATGGGGAGGGCTCTTCCCCTGCTGCCGCTGGCTGACAGCTCTGGTGCTGTCCCCGAGCTGAAGTCCCCATTGTAATGGATCCGCGGACCTTAGCAGAGAGGAGAAGAAAGGAAGCCCGGAGGTAAGCACAGATGCATTTTCTTATTCTCCTCCTCACGCTGCAGGCTGGGAGGTGCTCCTCACCTGAGCAGAGTGTGCTCCTGCAGTCCGCTCATGTTCCCAGGGCCCAGACAAGGTGAGCGGTGCAGATGTGTGAGAGCATCTTCTTAAGCCTCTCTTTCCGTTACCCGTCATCCCCAGCAGCGAAGGAAGGTTGGTGGGCAAAGGTTTGAGAGTCTCTCCCCCGCGAGGGCAAAGGAAACATTCTGATTCTCTTTTTGCGTGCAGATGCTGCCATTTCAAAGCCTGACCTCCTGTCACGGATTGAGCAAGGAGAGGATCCCAATGCAGAGGATCCGGATGACTCTGAGGGAGGAGAAACCCCTACAGACCCCAGCACCGGTGAGCCATAAGGTTCCTAGGACTCGGCGGGGAGGTGGAAAGCAGACGTGTGGCTGGCGCCACCTGCCTGCGCTCCTCCACTTGGCACCGGTGAGCCATAAGGTTCCTAGGACTCGGCGGGGAGGTGGAAAGCAGACGTGTGGCTGCCGCTACCTGCCTGCGCTCTTCCACTTGCCTCTGCTGTCGAGTTTTGCCAGCTCTGTCCTTGGGTACAGGGGTGACTTTGCTTTCCTTGTCACCTCTTACCTGATGCGGCCGTCTCTCCTGAAATCCTCTGTAAAGCAGCTGGGAGGCGTGAGCGTAAACTCCCGTCGTTCTTTCCCCTGTGCACAGAGTTTTCCTTTCCTGGTCCCGATGACAGCTCCTGGAGTAAATATGAAGAGACTCTGCCCGAAAGCCACGAGGGCTCTGAAGAAGAGGAAAGCATGGAGGTCCCTAGTACATGTGAGTTAGAAGCGCAGAGCTTCGCCGAGCGCTGCGCAGAGGGGGAGATAGAGGCGGGCTCAGGCTCTTGGCACTTGCTGGGGATTGCCCGGGGTGAGATCCTGCCTTCGCCGTGGTCTCTGCCAGGCTTGCCTCAAGGGTCAGCGTGGGAGCTGGATGGCAGCCGAGGCAGATGGATAGCACACGTGCAGAAGAAGCGGCAGTACGCCAGCAGCAGGCTGTAAAAGCAGCTCGGGGTTGGTTAGGGGGTACAGATCACCTCTACAGCGTCGCATCACTTGGTGAGGGAGCGTGTTTGGTCAGCCTTGATGTGGAGATGAGCAGGAGCGCGCGTAGTGCAGGCAAGCTTCGCTGGCGTGAGCAACAAAGTTCTTAAGAGTCTTTTTGACAAAGATGCAAAGTGGTATTTTTCACAGCTTCCTCTGTCAGCCAAATGTGAGGCTTCTTGTGGTGCAGGAAAAGGCGTATCCTTGTCACCGCCCCGTCGCTCCGGGTCCCTGCTCTGAAGCGTGGGGACACGTGAAGCATCCCTTGCTGGGATGTGCCTTTGGCTTTCCAGCCTTGGTCTCAGAAGCAGCTCAACTGTTCTGGTTGATGCTTTTCCAGAATTTCAGCCTGATGCAAACAAAGCGGCCCGTTTTTGAGCTGCAGGTTTAGATGTCTGACAGTGAGAAGCAGATGAAGAGTCCTGTGACAGGGAGTGCCAGGCGGTCTTCTCTGGGCATGCAAGTGCTCGGTACAGGTTTACCTTCTCACGCTCTGCAGAAGCGGGTGGTTTTTCAGCCCTCTTCTCCATATGCCTAGATCCTCTGGGCTTCTTTTGTCCTCCCTTTGCCAGGCACCTTGGTGGTAGCTTTGAGTTACCGTTTTTACCATGGAAGATCCTTCAGGCCCAGGCACTGTACAAGCCCAGAACGAAAAGAGGTTTTTCTTCCCCTTCCCTCAATTTTTATTTTGCCTTTATCCTAAGTCACATGTTCTCAAAGACCTGTTCTGCTTCACCTACTGCTAAGGAACCCACTTTTTCCCTTTGTCTAGCTATGTATGGAGATCTCATCATTGTACTGTCTGAGCTTTCCCCAGAAGTCTTTATCAATGATCTGGACGAGGGGATCGAGTGCACCCTCAGTCAGTTTGCAAAGGACACCAAGTTGGGCGGGAGTGTTGACCTGCAGGAGGGTGGGAAGGCTCTGCAGAGGGATCTGGCCAGGCTGCATCGATGGGCCGAGGGCAGTGGTGTGAGGTTCAACCAGGCCAAGTGCCGGGTCCTGCCCGTGGGTCACACCAACCCCACGGACGCTACAGGCTTGGGGCAGAGTGGATGGAAACTGCCCGGTGGAGGAGGCCCTGGGGGTGTTGGTGGACAGCGGCTGAACATGAGCCGGCAGTGTGCCCAGGTGGCCAAGAAGGCCAACGGCATCCTGGCCTGTATCAGGAACGGTGTGGCCAGCAGGACCGGGGCAGTGATGGTCCCCCTGTCCTCGGCACTGGTGAGGCCCCACCTCGAGTGCTGCGTTCAGTTTTGGGCCCTTCATGACAAAACAGACATTGAGGTGTTGGAGTGTGTCCAGAGAAGGGCAGCGGAGCTGTGAGGGGTCTGGAGGACACGTCCAAAAAAGGGGGGGGGTCTGTCTCCTCTCCCAAGGAACAGGCGATGGGACAAGAGGGAACAGCCTCAGGTTGCCCCAGGGGAGGTTTAGGATGGATATGTGGAGTAAAATCGTCCCCAAAAGGGTTGTGAAGCAGTGGCACAGGCTGCCCAGGGCAGTGGTGGGGTCGCCATCCCTGGGGGGATTTAAAAGCCGTGTAGCCGCGGTGCTGAGGGACGTGGGTTAGTGGTGGGCTGGGCAGGGCTGGGGTAACGGGTGGACTCGATGGTCTTAAGGGTCTTTTCCAACCTCAGTGATTCTGTGATTCTAAGTCAAAACACTTTGGCTTTGTTTATATTCCAGTACTGCTTAGGTAGCTCCCAGATGGGACTTACAACCCCGTAGTGCCAGGTACGGTCTTGAGTGTGCCAAGCAGAGACCCGAGAGAATTGCGGTCTAAATAATGAGGCAGTTCTTATCTCAAAGAAATGACATGCGTGTCTCTGCTCTGCCAGATGAACAGCAGTGTGATGAGGAAGGTCCCGAAAGCCTTGAGCTTCCTAGCTCATTGGCAGGAAAGTGGGAAGAGGTTTTCTCAAGCCCAGAGGAAGAGATGAAGCCGAGCAGCAAGAGCCGGAGCGGATCGACCTCGCAGCAGAGAACCGCAACAGGCAACGGGCTGAGGCGCTCCTCTCGCCGTGGGAGAGAATTGGCCAAGAAGGACGCTCCTGAGGACATGGCCGCAGTAGAGGGGCCGTACATCTGCTGCGAGTGTGGGGAGAGCTTTCTGGACAAGCAGCTCTTCGCCACCCATCAGAAGGCGCACGCCAGCGAGGAAGCCTGCACTTCCCTGGAGCACGGAGAAAGCTTCAGGCAGAAATCCAAAACAACCCCTACGAAAGGCCAAGGGTCCTCTCGCTCCAAACCGTCCAAGCGCCCCGATGGGGAGAAGAGCTCCGGTTTCAAGTACGGCTTTGTCAGGCAGGTGAACAACATGGTGGAGAGACCGTACACCTGCTCCCAGTGCAAGGAGAGCTTCAGCCTGGAGGTGAGCCTTATCTTGCACCAGAAGCTCCATACGGGGAAGGGCGACGGGCCGCTGACGTGCACCTACTGCGGGAAGGACTTCCGAGACCTCTCCAAAGCCATCCGCCATCAGCGCATCCACACCGGGGAGAGGCCGTACCAGTGCACCGAGTGCGGGAAGAGCTTCATCCGCCGGGACCACCTGCTCAAGCACTGGCGGGTCCACACCGGGGAGACCCCCTACCAGTGTCCCGTCTGCGGGAAGCATTTCCGCTACAAAGAGTCTCTGAATTGCCACCAGAAAATCCACTCCCGCAACCCCCGGCCCATGGAGGATTCGCAGCACAACCTGGAGTCGGCGACTCAAACCGGCCATTTCTGCGTGAAAAAAGAAACTAAGCAGTAGCGCTGCGGTGGGAGGCCGGGGCAGAAGGGCTCGCGGTTACGCTAACGGTCTGGCAGGTGGATGTGCAGCATGATGGGAGGTGAACTTGTATCGCAGCGAATCCATGTGATCATGCTACAAAGCCCGCTTTGTTGAAGCATCAAAGGAATTCCTCTTAAAAACTCTGATCGGACGGCCTAGGCACCTCTTCGACCCCGCAGGGTTACATGAGACTTCCGTAGCGGCGTAGGCCTTGTACTAGTTGTCCCCTACGCAGGTTTGGATTTTGCCTGTAGAGAATAATCCCGAGCGATTCTCTGGGGTCCGTATTTAGCAGGTGTTTCCCCACCTATCTTTGTGCATATTCAGGAGTGACAAGCTTTCGCTTTCTTTTTTCCACTCGTTTCACCGCAAGGCTGGAAGCGCGAGGGAGGGAAGGAAGGTGCCATTCCCAGGCAACTGGCCGCCCGCTCCCGTTGCGTTGCCGCACCTCAAAACGGCAAGCCCCGCGCTGCGAGGCCGGGGCTGGCATGAAGGGAAGAGAGGCGAGGCAGAGACGTGGTTAGGGGCACGACGCAGGATTTGTCGAAGGCAAAGAAAAAAGGCGGAGAGGAGAGAGCGGCAAAGAGCAAGGTGAGAAAAAAGTAGGTGCAGGAGGAAAGGAAGGGCAGGAGAAGGGGCTGAGGACATTGGAGCAGGAGGAGTTGGGAAGGGCAGCGTGCGGACGCACAGTCGGGTGTCTCACCCGAGGAGGACACGTCTTTGTTCTTTTGAAGGATGTTACTGGTACCAGTCAGGCTGTAGTTTCCCCTCTGGCCCAAGGGAACGGAGCCGCTGGTCCGTCACACAAACTCCTGTCAATGAAGGTGATTTTATTATAATTTTTTAACTGGGTTTGGTCTCACACTCAGGTAAGTCAGATGTGTGAAAGCAACTTCTCCTAACCCCTGTAAAGAGCTGTTTGGTTTTTAGTTAATCTAGAAGTAATTTATTATTATTATTATTAATTATTATTATTATTATTAATTATTATTATTATTATTATTATACTACAAGGAAACGTGTGGCACTATATTTCACAGTTGATCTAAAACACTTAAATGTATGAGATAACTGACAACGGAGTTTTTCGGGCGTCTGTGTAAATATTGGTTGACTTCTCGGAGCTAATTGGTGTTGTTCCTGAGGTGGCTGTAAGTGGTGTCTCTTCCGCTGTGTTATCGTCAGCTGCTGGTTCGTGATTGTGTTTTGTAATAACTTTTGTAAAGTCTGTCAATACAGTGTTTCCATTCTGAAGCCCGTGTCGGGTGAGTGATCGCAGCCCCGGTCCCCTCGCTGGCCTCGGTGTTTCGTCTTTGCTCGCCCCTCTCCTGCCGTGATGCCTGCCGCACCCTTACCCGGCACCCGGCTGGGATTTATTAGCGTTTTCCAGGTAACTTGTAGAACTGGTGAACCGCACAAACCGAGCGGGCTCCGCTCAAGTCGGCTACTGTCCACACCGGAGAGCCAGGTCCGGCAAACAGGGCTGCTCGACGCGGCTCTGGGGCTGCTGCGGTCGGTGTCCGGCATTTGGGGTTGGTGTTTTTATGCTTGTTCTCTGCTGCCGCTAACGGCTGAAAGCAGACTTTGGTTTTATACGAGAATAATGTCGCACTCTGGCAGCGACATGCAGGAATCGGAGCTGCGCGGCAATGGCCAAGGAGTTGCCGGTCGTGGCCGTGCTGTGCTGTGGGGTAGAGCCGGGACAGTCCGCTGCTGGGAGAAGCACTGGTGTGCCGCTGCGGCGCTGCCCTGAGCCTTGGAGGTGGGACACGGTGGACTGACCCTCCGGCACTGACTGCAGCCCCCTGCAGCGGGCGAGAAGAGCCATGGTGTGCTCTGCCAAAGGTCCAGCCACCCACGCTATGTGTTCATCTCTCCTGCCTCACCCAGGACAGGGTGGCCTGGCCCCATGGTGGCCCAGGGGAGCTGGAGGGACCCTGGCACAGGGAGCCAGGCTTGCTCGTGCCCGCTGCTCATCAGAGGGGCATCTGGCAGCCGGGCTGTGCTGGGTTTGCATCGCCGTTTCCTCGCTCACACGTACCTAAACTCTTTGTACCGGGGCTGCCAATAAACTGCCAAAAAGGGCAGCGTGCCCTTTTGTCTCGCTGTGCCCGGGCCTCGTGCGTGCCAGGGAAGGCAGTGCCGCTGGCGGGGCTCAACCGGGTGGCCCTGGGGATGTGGGGCCGGGGGGGGGGGGAGGGGGTGCCCCCCC